CTACAAATTGCCTCTCCATAGATTAGAAGCTCATCAATACAGTTTTAAAATGATTGTATTATGACATGGTCATCATAACAGATGAAAAGTTATAAAGGAAACCACATTTAAAATATTTAATATTACTTTATCCTATGGGTGTGAGTTGCTGTCTAGTATCCTTTCATATCAGCATGAAGGACTCCCTTTGGTATTTTTTACAGGGTGATCTGCTAAAGATGAGTTCTCTTACGATTTTTTTTTGTGTTTGTGTGCTAGGGATGAATCCATTTTTTATTATCTTGGAATGTCTTATTCTTTCTTAAAGGATAGTTTTGGTGGATATAGAATTATGCAGCCTTTTTCTTTCAGAACTTTGAATATATCATACCATTTGTCTTCTGGCCTCCATGGGGTCTAATGAGAAATTAGCTAATATTCTAATAGAGGAGCCCAGGCACATGACGTGTCATTTTTGTGTTGCTACTTTCAAGATCCTATTTACTTTGTCTTGAGTTTGTCTATGATGGGTCTAGATTTGGATCTCTTTCATGTATCTTTAAGAGACTATGTGGAGTTCACTGGATCACTTGGATATGAAAAATCAGTGTTTTTCACCAAATATATTAAGTCCTTGGTCAGGTCTTTTCCAACATTTTTTCTGCCATTCTCTCTCCTCATGTCCTTCTGGCAGTTGTGTTATGTACATGTTAGTATGTTTGATCGTACTGCATAAGGCTGAGGGTCTCTTCATTTTTCTTTCTGTTCCATCGGGTGGATTATCTTGGTTGTCTCAACCTCCACTTCATGGAGTCTTTCTTCTGACAGGTTGAGTTTTCATTTTTTGTTATTGTAATTGCCCTTCCTCCTTTCTTCTTCCCTTTCCCCACTTCTTCTTCCTCCTCCTCCTCTTCCTTCACCTCCTCCACCTCTTCTTTCTCCTCCTTCTTTTTGTGTTGTTGGCAATCAAACACAGAGCTTCCTGCATGTTAGGTAAGAGGTTATTTCACTTTTCAACCCCAGAGTTTCATTTTTTTAAGTGATTCTTGTCTCTTAATTGATATTCATTATTTGGTAAGACTTTATTCTCATACTTTAAAAATTATTTTTATATATGTATTCCTTTAGTTCTTTGAACATATAATACCCAATTAAAGTCTTTTTTCTGATAAGTTCATGATCTGGACTTCAGAACATTTTTGTTAATTTTTTTTGTTATTGGGGTTTGAACTCAGGACCTTGTGCTTGTGAGTCTGGCGGTGGAACCATTGAGCTAAATCCCTGGCCCTCTTATTCATACTTTAGTATTTTTGCATGTTTGGGAATTTTTTTCACTGAAGATCAGACATTTTTAATAATCATAATATTAAATTCTTGTCCTATCCCAAATGTAGGTTTTTGTTACTGCTTTTTATTGTTACACTTTGTTTAATAACTTTCCTGGAAAAAATTATGTGAGATATGTATTCTTTGTTGTGTTCTGCCACTGAAGTCTCTGCTCATGTTAGCAGTCAGTGAGTGATTGGACAGAGATTTCCTTCCTTCTTTAATTTTATTTTTATTTTTTTTGTTTTTTGAGACAAGTTCTTGCTATGTAGTTTATTCTGGCCTTGAATTCACTATGTAGTCCAGGCTGGCCTTGAATTCGTGGACATCCACCTGCCTCAGCCTCCCAAATGCTGGGATTGCATATGTGCACTACCACGCCCGGCTAGAGATTTCTTTAAATGCCTTGCTCAAATCCCTGTCTTCCACCCTTGGCTGAGGGGCTCTGTAAGGGGTGGCATGTCTCTAATATTCTGGCAGTTTACAACTCTGCCTTAGCCTTTGGTTTGTGCAGATCCTTGAGGTCAGATATGATAAGAAATTTGAGCCTTCTCATGTTTTCCTAGACACACAGAAAGTATTACTCATGCACTTGAGATATGGGCTCCTAGAAATACGTCAAAGTTTTTCAAAGCTCCCCATGAACATCTAGCTTGCAAGATTTTCAAGATTTTTTTTTCCATTATCTTATTTGCTCTAACTGATATCTCCATCAAAGGCTGCTGTGGTGTTAATTGCTCCTGATTGTTTTTTACAGTTTATTTTACTGTTTTATTCATTTAATAATAAATGCTCTCATGTTAAGACATTTGTCAATGAGCAAGCTTGGAATCAAGCCAAATAAAGACAAGCCCTACAGAGGGCTTTTCCAGGGAACTGCCACATAGTCAAACAGTGACAACTGCCTGTGGAATGTGGTGTTTTAGGGAGCACCGAGCCTGTTCCGCTCCTTTGTTAGCCACTGGGCTGGTGGCTCTCAGCTATTGCAGTTCTGAGTCTGCTGGTTTTCAAGGCTGTTGTGGAGCTGAGAAACGAGGGATGTTAAAATACCATGAAGGTTACTGTTCTTACTGAAATTTGACCACTTTCCATTAATAAATGCTCCTCATTGTTGCAAACCTTATAGTTTCCAGTTTATAACATGCTGATCTGGTCAACTTTTGCCTGTTTTCCCATTGCTTTCATGGGAAGACAGAGGTCTTTAATTATGAAAGTATTATGAAAGTATTTCCTGCAAACATATAATTTCTATACTGGTATATTTCATGTAATGGTGTAGTTAGCACCTGTTGAAAGATATTCAGTTTTTGTTCAGATTGCCATACTTTTTGAGTTATCTATCTCTTCTTGCACTTTTCCTTCCTCTTCTTTTATAAATGTTAGCTGTATGAGTCTTCTCCGAGCAGTCCTTCTCACCTCAGACTTGTGTCATTTCTAACATGTTATGGTGTTAAGAATTAAATAGCAAAACTGGTTAGCAACCTCTTAGGATAAGCTATGAGGCCCACTGCAAAGTGTGTGGGCTTTGTGACATGGTGACTACTCGGAAGTTATTTGGGCCTTTCCTCGCCTATGTTTTGAAGAATGTGGTTTCTAGACATCTGAATTTGGAGCAAATGAGCTGGTGATGTCCAGACCTTAGTACCATAATACTCCTTGGTAAATTAGATTTTATATATATATAGCAATATACCAAATTCTAGGAAACATATTTTTTCCCATTAAGCTTATTGGTCCATTTAAAGCAAACAGTACAGTTACATTTATCCTTGGGATCTTGTATCTTTACATGATAGGTCTTGGTTCTTGTTTTTTCCCATACCCCTGCCCTCCCTTCACTCCCTTCACCTTCCTTATTTACAAAGACTTTGTTTCCAGTTTTCCTTTTTTCACATTTTTTCTTTTCCCTTATTTCCTTTCCCCTTCCCTTCCCACTTCCCCTTTAGCCACTTTCTTCCTATTTCACACTACCAATTATACCATTTGAACCTTATTTATACTTTAGTTTTTCACACCAGAGAAACTATTCAGTATTTACTCATGTGCCCTGTTTATTTCACTTAAGAGTATGGCCTCAATGCGCACCCATTTAGCTATAAATGTCTCTAGTTTATCATTCTTTACGGCTGAGTAGCACTCCATTCTATAGAAAAACCACATCTTGTTTAAGGAAACATATTTTAAGAGGTTCTTTGATCAAGTAGGAATTTGAAATTACTAAGATGGAGACTGGGAAGCTTTATGACTATGCTATATTGAAAGAGTGGTGATTTTTTTATTGGGAGAAAAACTTGGGGGAAAAGGACAAACTTACTGTGGGGTCTGTGATTAGGCTGAGATGGTAACAAAATGATTCTGTCTGCCTCCACCATTATTATGCCTCCATAGTTGTGACTAACAAACATATGGTATAAATGTGAGTGCTTTTTTTTTTGTCCTTTCACTTGTGAGGCAGGCGGCTGTACCACTGAGCTAAATCCCCAGCAAAAATGGGACTGCTTTTGATTCAGTATACAAGAAATTCCTATGAACAATTCTCCAGCAGTGTAACTGACTAAGCATTTTCATTGCTCCAGCCTGGGAAGCCGAAACTAAATAAAGCAGAATCATCACCTTATCTTCAGAATGATTAAAGAAAGACTAACGCATCTGCTAAGGAACCTTAATTGGACCGAAGACTGGGGTCCAACACAGTTGAAGGCCATTCTAAAACCAGCATTTGAAGGGCCTGACAACACCATATAGCTAGTATATAACCCCAGGGCAAGACAGAATATTCAGTGGGAGCCTGGAGTCTCCAAGGGTTATAAGACATTTTTCAACTTTCCCTACCAAGGGTGAAGGGAGGGCAAGGGTATGAGGGAAAAATAAGAGCCAAGATTACAGCACATAAAGGTACAAGATCCCAGGGATGAATGTAACTGTATTGCTTGCTTTAAATGTACCAATGAATTTAATGGGGGACAAAAGAACTTTCCTTATCAAGCTCTCATGATCAAATTATGTATGAAGCTGGTGACAAGTTAGCTTTTCCACAGGTTTTTACTGACACCTAGTGGTAAATATGAATATGAATATAATCTAAAATAGACTACAATGAACACAAATTGACCATTTTATAAAAATCATGAAGGAATACAGTGATTAAATGTATTTTCAAGTATGAACTATATTTTAAAAAGGGAGTTAAACTGATTAAATGTTATTTTAATCTTTTAACTATTTTATTCTGAATTGAAAAATCTTCCTTGAGAATTGATTTTATTTATAAGCAAATCTTCAAGAAGTATTCAAAATGCATGGTTTAAATTAAGTAATATTTAAATTAAAAATGTTTAAACATGACTGCAGTAAAAGACAAATTGCTATTAATACCTCTCGTTTTAAACACACTTATCTCATTGTTCTTACCACTTTCGGAGGCAGGCACGGCACTGCTGAGATAAATCCCTGGGCAATCTGGTCACTTTCTGAATAGTTCTGGAAGTCCTCTTTGGGTGAGGTAAATATGAGCGAATATCTGGTGAATGCTGCAGTCTCAAAATTAGGAGAATTAAGGAAAATGTATTTGCTAGTTATATACTGTGATAGGGAAGCTAGAAAAGATAATTCTCATTAGAATTAAAATTACAGCCTTTAAATAATGAATAAATGAACGAAAGTGTCATTTTTATTAATTTTATTATTTTATTGCATTTGAATTCCTTGGTCCATAGACAAAAAGACAAGCTGACTGAACACAGTGCAATTGCTTATATCCTGTGGGCCTCTGGCATCATTTACCTGGATGTCCATTGGTTTCATGGCTCTGATGCTTCCCCTGGTTCTTCCATCTCTAAGGAACTCATTTCTGCTTCTTCGTCCTGCCCTAAGAATTCTTCTTGGGATGGTGGCCCTCTTTCATTTGATGTTGTTTGCAAGTAGTCTGTGTCTGCTAACGGCCTCTGGGCCTGTGATGTGCTTGGCTCACTGGGTTCATAGTTTGCTGTGAGATCTCCCATTGCTCCGGAAACATCAGGCCCATTCTCCCATTTGGAAGATGGGTGTGTATCCTTATGCTTGTAAATATTCAGTCTCTTTTCAACCACTTCACGAATCAACACTGTAAAGTGCAAAAGTTATTATGATTTTTCATGTCTTAGATAAGTTATAGATGAATATAAAGCATTCACCAGGCCTCTCCCTTCCCTATACCATAACCTTTTATAGAGTCATCATTTAACTTCTGTAGCAATTAATGCAATGAATATGGGTCACAGTCTCTGCCTGTTTTAATAGAATATCATTTATAAAGTAATGACAGAAGATACTAATATTGGTAAAATTATAGAAAATAAAAAATAAGATTGAGGGTAAAAATTTGTATCTTTGTTAATATAATTGATATACTGAAGATTTAAGTATTAAAACTGTAAAATTACTATCTTTCTTCAGTTTATTCCTACCACTGAAAAGTTCAGAGATGACTTTCAAATAAAATAAAAGAACTTACTGTCAAGTACTGTTCTTCCTACCATGCTGTGATCTATGGCTTTTTCAACTTCATTCATTAGCCATGGAAGAAATCCTATCTCGATATCTGTAATAAAAAAATTTCACTGAGTCATATTTTGTTTAAAAGACAGGGTCTCACTATGTAGTTTAGGCTAGCTTTGAACTCACTATGTAGCTCAGGCTGGCCTTGAACCCATGGCAATCTTCTTGCCTCAGCCTCCTGAATGTTTGATTATAGGCTTGTACCACCACATCCAGCTAAATTATGTTTATTGATGATTTTAAAGCAGAAGAATGTGCTTTGCCTCTAATGTAACAGATTCATCTATATTGTTTTTTCCAATACAAAATGTTAAGTAGACTCATATATTATAATGTATGCCATATTCAGTATGTTCTGGTCAAATTCCTTTCTATTGCAATAGAAATATTGTCAAAATTATAAGGCCTTTCTTGGAGTCAAGGATGTCAGAGTTGGCTTCATAGCACAATCTGAAACATTGTGGAGGCAGAAGGAAGTCATGGATCTGGAAGAATTCCAAGGAAATATGATAAGGATCTGAAATTGAGCATTACCAGTATAAAGGATGCCCTTGTCAGGGCCTAATGGAAGCTAATAGGATTCAGAGGATGCAGACTGGATGCAGGCCAAGGGCATTTCAGAAGGTGGCTTTCACGAAATGGGTTAGAAACTAGGTGTTTCCATTAGTAAAGAGTTTGCTCTATCTGAAATGGAAATCTATTGTGAAAGCATTTAAAGCATATGGTCCATTATGATACAACATTGTAAGTTTCAAAATAGTTTTTTTGGGGGAAAGCATCTCATTGCTATTTTTTAATATGATAACAATGGAAAGGATGATAGAATATTATGTTTGCTATTATAAATATTTTAGTCTCAGGCATGAATTTCATTTGCAAAATTTTAAATAATCCATGATAGAAAGAAAGTTACTGGTATCTGTGACTAGCAGTAAGAGGCCTAACTAGAACCTAAGATAGGATGGTAGCACAGAAAGAAGAGTAGGCTTGGACTAACACTTCTGCTGACTATTTGGGAGCAACTTCTCTGTGCTTCACTTTGTACTTCTGAAAAATGGGAAATATATCTGCCCTGTCTACCCCATAGAGTTACTGGGAGGATCAAATGATATCACTTATGAAAAAACACCACATAAATTGGAAAGTATGATATAAATGTAAATTAATGACATTGGTTTATAATCTCACCTCCATGCATGGAATTGAATATGTAACCAGTGAAGATTGACATTACTAACATCTGCCCCAAAATACTATTGGCCAACGAGGCAGGACTTGGATACAAAACACTGGAGATGTGTGTTCTACATAAAGGATGGTGGCAGAGAGAACATATTCATTTCTTTTCCTTCACTCGGCTAGATTGGCTAGGAGAATGGGCTTTGTGGGGAGGCTAACAAATGACTACCAGGCTCCATCAAGACAGAGATCAGGGTGTCTAACTCAGTGCCTGGGATAGTGTAAGTACCTAATTCAATGGATCAACGATCTCAGCATCTGTCCTCAAAAGATTTTAGATTGGAACAGAAAGTCAGCTGAGAAAAGAGCTATAACAACTATTACACAAGCACAGTGCTTTCTGCATACAGAGCACTTTGTTTATACAAAGTTTTATATATTGTAAGATTTCATTTCACATATGAGGAAACTGGAGGTCATAAAGCTAGTTAATGATGAAGCTAGGATCAAACCTTATGTTTTCGACATACTATCCATATTTTTTCTACTACCCATTGTTGTATGTCTCAATAAAGAAATGCCAAATCTTGATTTTAAAATCAAAATCTTTATGATATATTTATTCAGGAATTTTAAATTTTAGTTTCTAATAGTACTTATTTATAGAGTACTATAATATACCTCTTCTTAGTAACAATAGTTTTTTTTTGGTACCGGGAACCGAACTTGGGACTTTGCACTTGTGAGGCAGATGGCAGAACCAATGAGCTAAATCCCCAGCCCAGTAACAGTAGTTATTTAAAACAAACATAATTTTAATTTCAGAAATAAAAAGATTCAAATATATTGCTTCCCAGCCTTTTGGCTAAGATCAACTGTAAAAAGATTCTAATTCAAAATAAAGATGGGCATGAAAGAAATTTGAAACATTAAGAGGATGCTTATTATAATAGAGTTAATCTAACACAAATCTCCACAAACCTCTTTTAATGGGATCATAAAAGTATCCACTGTCTCTGAGACTGCTAAAAACAGATGGGAGAAGGTCAGCCAGGTAACGCTGTGCAAAGGCACAGGCAGCTACCTTCTGTGCTGTCTCGTTTTGCTTGTGTACTATATCCCACTGCTGCCGCTTACGACGTTCCTGCCAAGAGGAAAACATTATTATAGATGGTTATTCAAGTAGTGTGTACTCCTCAGATCCCGACTCTAGTGAAGTATGTAAGTCAAAATATTTGGACTTATCAATAAAAAAAAGGACAGCAAGGTGTCTATTAAGGATTCATATTTTTCATCAAGATTTTGAAGCATTACAACTACTAGGTACTAAACTCAGAAAGATATAAAAGATGGAGCTTGAGCTGGGATTAGAGTATTTGCCTAGCATTTATGAGGTCCTGGGTTGAACTGCACCCCTGCAAAAGAAACAAAATAAAATAAAACAATGGAATTTAATTAAAAACTGATTTCCAACCCATTTTCTTTTCTTTTGTTTTGCTACTGGGGATCGAACTCTGGACTTTGCGCTTGCAAAACAGGCGGTGGAAACACTGAGCTAAATCTCCAGCCCTCTAACCTATTTTCAAGGAAAATAACTTCAGAATATATCTGCATGATTGTTTGAATGCTATTAAAAGTATAATGATAGTTATGTGTATTTTTTCATTAGTATTATCATAAATTAATACTGATATGAACATTACAATTGCTTAGACACCTTCAATTAAAGAACTTAAAGCAATGATCTAAATGAGAGATCTAACAAATACTAAAGGTTTTTTTTCTAACAGATTTTCAAAGATCTTTAGCTTTTATGACGTACCACATGTAACTTTGAACATAATATATATAAAATATACAAAAGAGTAACTGGGGTAGAGGACATAGCTTAGTGCTAAAGGATGTGAATGGTACGTGGAAGACACGGGGGTTCATTCCCAAGGAGGAGGAGGAGAAGGAGAAGGAGGAGGAGAACAACAAGAACAAGAACAACAGCAGCAGTAGCAGCAGCAACAACAACAACAAAAGTACAAGACTGCCTCAGAAAGAAAAACAGAATTCATAGACTCAATACTTTTTCTTCTTGGTGTCGTCTCTTTTGCTCTTCCAGTCGCTGGACTTCAGCCAATTCAACATTTCGCATTTCTTCATAGGCACACTGGCTAGCCTGCAGACTGGCCAGCTCTTCCTCTTCCATCACTTCCAGTAGGGACTGCTCAATTGTTTTGCCCACCAAAACTTCTAACATTGGTTTAACTTCAAGATCAAAGTCAAAGAGCTAAACAAGAGAAAGCAACATTTTAATCATGAACTAAATGCATATAAAATTATAAAGAATAGCAATAACATAGTCCCAGTTACCGAGAAGGCTAAGGCAAGAGGATTGCAAATCCCAGGTTAGTATGGGGAACACAGTTAGACCCTGTCTCAAAAAAAAAAAAAAAATGGTTAAAAGGGTTTGGGATGTGGCTCAGTGCAAGGCCCTGGGTTTAACTGATAGTTTTACAAAAGGAGAGGGAGAAAGAGAAAGAGAAGGAGGAAGAGGAGGAGAGGAAGAAGAGGAAGAGGAAGAATAGGAGGAGAAAGAGGAAGAGGAAAAATAGGAAGAAGAGGAATAAAAGGAAGAAGAAGGGGAATAGTAATAATTGGGTATTATATTAAATGTTGTCTATGTGCCAAACACTGTACTAGTACTTCAAGTTTGGTCTCTAATTCTTGAAACAACCCTGCAAGGTACACAAAACAGCATTTGATTTATAGGTAAAAATCTATTAACTCGGGCCGGGGATTTAGCTCAGCGGTTCAGTGGCTTACCTTGCAAGCGCAAGGACCTGAGTTCAATCCCCAGTACCAAAAAAAAAAAAAAAAAAAAAATCTATTAAGTCAAAGTTATGAAAAAAATCCATGCATTCATCAACATGAACCTTGATACTCAAGAATTTTAAAATCAAACTTTACAACCAAAGGAAAATATGATTGTCTTACTCTTTCACTTTTCTGCTTGATTTCTTACAGGCTGTTTTAAAAATAACAGAATGATGAACTAGAGAAGAATAATGGATACTTTAGCTGGGTATAATAGAGTATATTTGTAATCCCGGCTACTTTGGAGGCTGAGGAAAGAGAATATCAAGCTTAAGGCCAGCCTGAGAAACTTAGTGAGAACCTGTCTCACAAAAATAAAACAAAACAAAACCCAAAAAACAAAACAGGTGAAAGGAAAGAAGAATAAAATGGTAGGGATGTAGCTCAGGTGTACACCCAGTTCAATGCCCAGTACTACATACATATAATGGATATTTTAAGTGACTTTTGTCTAGGATTTAGAAGTAAATATGTCCTTCTATGTAGCTTCTAAAAACTTATTTTATTCCTCTATTTCAATGACAATTCTTCTAAATTCCTTCAAGTTTTAAATCTTACTTAGATCATTATGCATATAATCAATGCCTTCTTTAATTTAATAAATTTGTCTATTTATGCATTCCACATTAATAGAAAAATATAATTAAGATTTTAAAAACAGAGATAGTATCTTTTTTTTTTGTACGGGGCATTGAACTTGGACCTTGCGCTTGTGAGGCAGGCGACAGAGCTACTGAGCTAAATCCGCAGCTAGAAATAGTATCTTTATAAAACTAATGTAACTTATAAACAACCAAGACTGGAGTCTCATATTTCAGAGGAATTATTCTTCCTTATATGGTACAAATCTATCTTACATATATATATTAAACAACTATTTAAAATATATAAATATTCTAAAAATATTTCCAATAATTTATTTTTGGCAAACAAGGAAGAAATATTAGAACATGTTATTTAAATACATTTTTGGGCCCTACAGGATAAAACTATGAAAAATAACATTTGGAAAGAAATCCAAAAATTAGAACTTTTCTGATTGTGAAGTGGTTCTTATCTATATTAAGCTTTACCTAAATCCAACTTTAGCTTACCTATTAAGATAGAAGGAAGTCAAAGGAATGTACTTACCTCTCCTTCTAGTATTTCAGTGGCCACATCTTTGTTAGTTTTTGCAGGAATAAAAAGTGGTGTTGGTGGTCTGTCCAGAAATGCATCTGTTTGGCATTCCATATCAACTTCTATTACTCGGTCAGCAATTTCTTCAAGGTATAATTCTAAGAATAATATCATAGAGACTGAATTTGACATTCTGGTCTACTTTAAATATTTTTTGTATTTGACATTTCAGCTCTTTCAAAACAGAATTAAATGAATCAGAAAATAAGTCCAAGAATACATGGACCCTTGAGTTATGACCAGCCTGATATATGAACAACTTTGGGTTAGGCCCTGAACTTCAGTTTTAACTTACAAATAGTCTTGAGTTTTGACCCAAATACCAGCTGCTTGTCCTTCCAGATGGTGTCAGATACAGGTTTAACTCTTAAAGAGTTCTGGAAGGAACATGACAACATCCTTTCCTGTGTGGGGTTAATTGAGAAATCCTGAACCAATGTCTCTCTAAGGGAATTGAGATCTTCCTATATATAGATGAGAGACTTAGAAGGCAGTGTAGAAGAGTCTGAGACTACAATTGCCCAACTTCATAAGTCAAGGGTCCACTGCAACAGTGCTTAAATATGGGGTTAAATTCATACCCTGAGTTGAGAGATTTACATAGTTGGAAGACCAAAGAGTCAGTCAAGTTAGAAAATTGACTGAATGTCTAGAAATTAGTGAGCTTTGCCTTAGAAAACAGAACTAAAGAGGAACATGAGGATGTGAGGGCCATCTGGCTGCGACATCTGTCACCACATTGATTGCCAGGATTGATCTGGCTGATCTGGCTGGCTAGGCCAGCCACCTTCCTCCTTCAGCACTCCACATGCATCCCTCCCGAAGTTGCATGAAAGAGGACAACCACTCCGATAGAGGAGGACCAATTCCTCGGTCAAGGGCATATCAGTAGATGTGCTCCCTGGCTACCTCCAAATAAGCTCTCAAAGAAGAATATGAGGCCATAGATGTATATATAAGATGCAAAGGATAATAGGGAATTAGAAATTAATGATAGATATATTTAATTGAGTCATAAGAGAGTAAATGTATAAAGATTTGAAAACCCTGGATTTAAAAAATTCATGCCACATGTCATGATGCTATTTGATGTTCACTCTTTTTCTAAAGATTACAAACAGCTGTATGAAAACAAATTTCACATCAGGAATGACTTATGTTTAGCAGGGGTGATGTGGTATCATGTGATGCACAGGAGTGTGGGAATCAGATGTCAAACACAGGACCCAGGCAAGATATATCCTCTCTGGGCCTCAGTTTCTTCACGTATAAAAGAAATCACAATAACTTGTGGTATGGAGTCTTTGCCATAATAGATAAGATGCAGAGGCAAAGGACCTGCTATAATCTCTGAGGAAATACCCAAGGAAAAATGAGCTATTGTATTACTTAATATTCTGATGGTATAAACCAAAGAATGGTTCTCTTCCTTTCATCTTCACTAGAAAAATAACCCTGATGAATCTGCTCATGATCATGGCAGGGTACAAGGTGAATCTTAAGAAGTTACATTAGTTAAAGTAAGACATCAAGTATTGTCACATTACCAAGAATTCTGTCAACTACACAGCCAGATCCTTTTGGTCCAGGTAAGACTCAAAAACAGAATAGTGAGACAAGTAGAAAGTCCTGGCACCTGCCTCAGAATCGCCTGTGTAGCCTTAGAGACCATGCAAAGTGAAAGGAGAACAAAGGCTGGTGTGAAAGGCAGATGACTCATATACCAGTGGGTTTACTCCTCTCAAAAGACAAACAAAAGCCAAAACAGAATACAGTGCTCTCCTCTCCTATAAATCCCAATAAAAAGAACAATGATTTGAGAATGAGGAAAAAGGCACTCTTCTACATTGTTAGTGGGGATGTAAACTGGTACAACACTATGGAAATTGGTATGGAGATGCCTCAAAATATAAAACTAGAAGTTACACTTAGTTATTCCCCTTCTATTCGTCTTCTGAAAAAGAGTTGAAGTCATCATCTTACAGTGATACATGCATATTCATTGTCTTAGTTACTTTTCTCATTGCTGAGACAAAATATCCAACACCCACAAGTTAAGGGAGGAAAGGTTTATTTAGCTCACAGTTTGTAGAAGTTTCTGTTCATAGTTGGCTGGCTCCAGGGCAGGGTGGCATGGAGAGGGGCACTGCAGAGCAGACAGGCAGAAGGCAGCAAGTAGCAAGGAACAAGCGACCAGCAATGAACATAGCAGCTCTTTCTGTCCCTTATATCGTATCCAGGCTACCATTAGGGCAGGTAGCACTCACATCCTTAACCCTAGCACTGGTGAATCAATCCTAGCATCACATTTTTTATCTCAGTTGCACACAACCTAGATCCAGCCACCTCCAAAAAGCCCCACCTATGACTACACGAGGCTTTGCGGGGGACATCTAGACACAAGCCATAACATCCATGTTGATAGAAGCATAATTCATAATAGCTTAATCTTGTAAGCAGCCTATATGTTTAGCAACAGATGAATGAATTAGGAAAATGTGGTATTTATATATAATTGAACAATACTCTGCCTTAAAAAAGGGCAAATTTGAGTCATTTGTAGGAAAATGGATGCACTTTGAAACCATGATGTTAAGTGAAATAAATCAGACACACAAGCTTAAATATCAGTTAACTTCTTTTATATATAAACCTAAAGTATAAGTCATTAAAAAAATCAAACAAACAAAAAAACAATGGGAAACAGGGAAACAGATCTTTTGCAAATGGGAAGGGAATCTTGAGATGGTGGGCAGGGGGGGAGTGGGAGGGGAATAAAAGAATTAAGACATCTTAAGTACATGTACATAGTTCCTAAGAAGAATATAAACATTCCATACTACACATGCATGCATGCATGCAAAAAAAAAAAAAAAAAGAACACTAACTTATACTGGGCTGCAACAAACAATCCTGGTTTGAAATAGTGTATGTGAAAAGGGTGAAGAAAGAATTGATTTGGTCATAAAACTCTTATTTTAACCCCAACTCATATTTCCAGCTATATCCAATATAATAATAATATGCAGTGTGTGTATTTGTTTCAGGAATGCACTTCCCTGTTGTGGGGTTGGGAGTATTGGAGAGCACCACAGATATATAAATAACATAAAAGCTTATTAAAAATGAACAGACACAGACAACTAAGTAACCCCAGGAGGCACTTTGCCAATGGCATGATCACATACCTGTCTGCACATCCACATGCTTCCTGCCTTCTACAGGTTCTGGGGTCCGTGGTTTGAGCTGATCTTGAGCTCGTTTTTTGGCAAGAGCCTTCTTCTTAGCCTGCTGCTGTCTCTGAAGCTCTACGGGATCAGGCTGCCTAGGCTGAGGGGGACAGAAAAGGTTTCTAACAGTCAGAACATATTTTTCAAAGTATATAAGAACTGCTATTCCACAAGTGACTCTTGGATAGTATTAAAGCATGTTTTATAAGAATGCTTCTATTTTTTTGGTACCAGGGATTGAACTCGGGACCTTGCACTTGCGAGACAGGCAGCAGAACCACTGAGCTAAATCCCTGGTCCTAGAATGCTTCTTGATTATCAGTGACTTGATGGTTAAAATTTTATTGGAACTTTGTAATATGTAGGTGTCTGATGAAGCATAAACATTACTCTAAGTAAGCCAGTAACTGAAGGAAATGGGTCCAGAATCCTATCTAATTACATGCTTTGCTCTCTCAAGCATTTTTACTACCAAATCCTTTGGTTCCTAGTAAAACTGATATAACTATTCTGTTACAATAAACTTTAATGAATACTTAAGAAATTATAAAGTAGGATTTACAAAATCTGAACTTCATTTGAACAGAATGTTTAAAAAATTTATTAGCTCACAAAGAAAACATCCTGAAAAGCCTCTCCAAGCATAAAAAATAAGCTGACTAAGGGGTTATAAATATAATCATTCACAGCAGTTCTGCAGAATTTGGAGATTCTATTTGACATCTGTCTCTTATTTTGTAGCCATTCTCTATAGTTTGCTTGTCTTCTCTCAAGGTAAATTGAAAGAGATATGTAAAAATATTTCATATGAATAAACACTTAAAAAGTAGAATTATAAACACATTTTAATTGAAATGACAATGTAGTAACATTAACACCTTTCAAAATAAGAAAATTACTATGATCCCATATCACTTAAACGCAGTGTTTTTGAAGCTGTATGATACCAAACATACCAAAATATTATTGTTCTATTTATCAAACTTTTCCTCATGTTTGCATTATGCAGAGTTAATGAGAGCACTATTCTTGAAATTCAAATTGCAGCTTCTCAATTTATTAATTACTAGGATTAGTAAACCTTCAACTAACAACCAAAGTTATTTTAGACAGCTTTCTCATCTGCACAATAAGGATATTAAATCTACCTCAGGTTTTGGTTATAAGAAACAAATCAGATGACAGTGTAATGAGCTTAACTCAATATCTGACAGAGAACAGTTCTTTCCTAGATCACTGTCCTACCCTTTCACTATAAAGTAGTAAAACCACATGACAGAAAAGAGAAAGAACTGCTTGTGATTCAATTTTTCTAATGCAATTATTAGTAATTGGGATCATTCAGTGAAGATTTTTTTCTTTGTGTATTTATTCTATACTATTATTAATACTGTCCTTATTAATTTCTATTTTCTTCATATGATAGAATTATAAATTGCAGCTGTCAAAAAAGTAGGATGTTAAATGGAAGAAGTTCATTTTATAAATATATTGCCCAAATGAACCATAAAGGTATTAAAAAATTCTATTTTGGAATAACTCATAGGAAGTTACAAAAACAGAAGAGTTCTGTGTACCCTTCCCCAATGCTGACATATTATCTAATATAGCACAATACCAAAGTGAAGAAATAAACATGGGGAAAATACTGTGAACAGATCTCATTTGGTTTTCACAATGGTAACCTGCATTAATATCTGTGTCTCTATATGTGGTTGTATGTGATTTTATTCCACATGTAGACTCGTGAAACCACTCTCCAGTCAAGACACAGACCTGACTAGTCACAGCAAAGGTGCTCTCTTAGGCGTCCTTTATGTTTGCTTCCAAGTCCCACCCCCACCCCTGACCCCTTGGCAGCCAGTATTGTGTTCTCCAACTCTTCTGTTATTTAAAAAATATTTGTTTTGAATTGACACACAGTAATTGTGTATATTTATGGAGTATAGTGTGATATGTCAATACATTTATATAATTTGCAATTATCAGATCAGATTAATTGGTATATCTATCATTTTTTTGGATACTGGGAACATACAAAGCCTTCTATATAATGATGCCTCCATAAAACACCATATGGGTTCACTGATAGCTGTGGAGGGACCTGGAGGACGGCACACAGAGGGCACAGCTCTTCACCCCTTTCCATACACTTTGCCTCCTGTATCTCTTCTCTCACTGTTCATCTGTACCCTTTGTAATGGTTTTACATGTACTAGAAAACGTAAAAAAGTATTCCCATGAGTTCTAAACGGCTCTAACAAATTAACTGAAATCAAGGAGGGCGTCGTGGGAACCCTCACTTACAGCAGGTGGTTCGAAGCATCGGTTACAACCTGTGCTTGCAACTGGCAATTGAAGTGAGGGAGCTGGTCTTGTGGGACTGGACCCCTAATGGGTGGGATCTGACGCTATCCCCAGAGAGAAAGCTTTAGAATTGAATGGAATTAGAGGACACTTAGTGGGTGTCCACTGAAGAAGATGGATAAATACTTGTTGATGTGTAGGGGAAAAACATCTGCATACCTGGGGTCACAGAGGGGAAATATTTGTGCTTGGTGTGACAGTGGACAGCACTTAAAAAAACACTTGGTTTCATCTGTCTCTTTAGTAGTACTGCATTATTATCCTTTTCATCTTGTATGGCTATAGAACCTATAGTTATATCCCCTGATATTCATTCCTGGTATTTGTGATTTATGTCTTCTGTCTTTTTGCCAGTCTTGCTAGCGGTTTATCACTCTTATCAATCTATTCAGAGAACCAATATTACTTTTTTCTTTGTTTTCTTCCTTCTGTCTGCCCTGGGTTTAGTTTGCTCTCCCTCATCCAGTTCATTGAGGTAGGAGCTTAGATTATTGATTTGAGGTCTTTCCTTTTTTCCCCTCCTTAACTACATCCTACAAATTTTGATATGTGGTCCTCTTTAACCTATGAATTATTTAGATATGGGTTGTTTAATTTCCCAGTGTATGAACATCTTCCTGTCATCTTGTTATTGGTTTCTAGTCATTCTGTTATTATCAGAGAACCACATTCTACAATATTTCAATTCTTTTAAATGTATTTAGATTTTTCTATGACCAAGGAAATGGCCTATCTAGAACACATCCTGACAGCTATATTTTCGTTGATGAGAATATATCTATACCTGCATATGTATATGTATATATTTTGGTCTAAGAGATGGATGTTGTAGTCCCCAACTAAAATTGTGAATTTGTATATATCTTTCTTTTAGTTCTAGTACATTTTGCTTTATGAACTTAGAAACTCTGTTATTAGGAACCTGAGAATTTAGGATTGCTGTATCTTTTTGATATATTGTGACCCTTTCATCATCATGTAACATTCTCTTTGTGGTCACAGTCTTATCTTCTGAAATCTACTTTATATTAATATAGCCACAATGACTTTAAAAAATTGTTTGCATGGAATATATTCTTCCATCCTTTTATTTTCAGTCTACCTATAGTGTTGTAATTGAAGAGATTTCCTTACAGACAATATATAGTTGAGTTATAGCTATTATATTATTATTATTATTTATTTTTATTACCGGTGGGAGCTACTTTTACTTGCTTTACGTAGACCACTTAGATTTAATTATTTATTTATATATTAGGGCTTAGTCTGTCATTTTTTGTTTTCTGTTTTTCTCCCTCTTTTTCATTTTTCCCCCCACCTTCCTGTGGGTACAGTGAGTGCCCATAATTTTGGTGCCTTGGCATAGTTTTACCTTATACCTGAAGCCAGGCTCAGGAACCCCTGACACAGCTTCCAATGCCACACTCTTCTGGGTTAGAATTAGGGTTTGATAGTCTTTTGCTTTTAGGGCTTGCCTCATGTTTCAGGTGAGAAATCCACTATCATTCAAATCATTGGTCTTCCTCAGTTAACATGCCGTTTCTATCCAGTTCCTTTCAGATCTTTTTCTTTTTAGTCTTTTAAAGTTTGATTCTGATGTGGCTTGGCATAGCTTTCTTTGGGTTTATCTTTGGGGTTCACTTGGCTTCTTTAACATGTAGAGCTCTCATTGCATTTGTGAAATTTTCAGGCAGTATTTCTTCAAATACTTTTTCCATCCCATACTGTTTCTCGCAGAGGACTGATTAGCGCTACCTTGCTGCTGCCAGGTGGGGACAGAAGTGCAGCTTCCTCTTACCTTCACTGGCACTATGGTGAGGAGCAGCTCAGTTTTTCCATTGTTTGGCTGGAATAGGGGTAGTATCATCAAAAGTATTTTTTGGTTTGCAAGGCTGCCCCTTCCTTAGTCCTTGGCTAAAGGGAGCAGGCTTTTCTTGGGGTTGCTCCTAACAGTGGTTTAAGGTTGTAGGCTTCTCTGGAGTCCTTAACAGGATAGGCAGGAGGCAAAAACAAAACTCAGGGACTCATCACTGTGCCATTCCTTAAATTCCCAAGTCCCTAGTTAGTCTGCTTTCTTATTTGCACCTTTCAAGTCCTATGTTTGATGTTCTGTTATTCCACCGTTTTGTTTGTTAGTTGTAAGAGGGAAGGGATGTGTGAATTCCTGCTTATATGGACCTGGGATATCAGGGCAGACTTTTAAGATAAGGTGCTGATTAATTGCCTAAAAAAATGAATCTGACTCTTCTTTCCATTTTTGTTCTAAGCATGTCAGTACTAATAAAAGAAAATGCTGAAACATATATCCAGATAAGACATTTGCGCTGACCCCGATCTGGTTGTAGCAGAATTGTTTAGAAAAGTTTATTAAAAGTTCATATTCCTGGGCTGGGGATTTAGCTCAGCGGTTCGGTGGCTGCCTTGCACAAGGACCCGAGTTCAATCCCCGGTACCAAAAAACAAAACAAAACAAAGTTCATAATCCTGAGTCCTAACCCTAAAGGTTCTAATACAGGAGATACAGAGTAGGGCCGAAGCACATATGTTTCTAATAAGTTTTCCCAGCAATTCTGATGCAGAGTCAGCTGTGGGAGTTACTACTTCAGACTAACACTCCATATATGACCATCTTGTGCTAAGCACTTACATGTCGTATACTGCTTATAGATTAATTATATTTCATTTTTGTGCCAATAAATCACTAACCTTAATCTGTTACCATGTCTTAGTCATTGCTGTATCCTAGGTACCCAGTAAAGGACCTAATCTCAGTAAATATGTACTAATTGAATTAAGTATAACTCAGACTTTTTGATGAAATGATAATAGTATTATCGTGAGATAGCTAAACAAATCTATATGTAGTAGATAGTGCTACCCAAAGTGTGGTCCTCAAACTAATGTTCTTTGTGGACTGTTTAAATTGGTCTGTAACTGTAGGAGGCCAGACTATGAGTTTATCCCAACCCAGGAGGGCAACAAGGCTTAAACAAAAACACAAAAATTATTTGGAAGAGGAGAGCCAGGGACTCTCTGCATTTAGTGAACAAAGAGCCTTGAGCAGATAATGCTCCTCACTTTTATTAGATTTATACAAAGAAGAAGCAAGCAAGCTTGTGATTCAGGGTTCAGGGAAAGTTTATCAAGTTCTCATAATTTGTACACTCTACCTGAATGTTCATTTTCTTTTAATCAGACCTAAGCTGCAGCTGTTTCTCTCCTTGAAACTGGTTGATGCTGGCAAGCTAGCAAATAGCCCGAGGTGAGGGTCGGCTTGCTATGTTTACGCCCGTATCTCAAGAAGGGTTCAAACTCAGCTTTGGCCTTTACAACTGGTTTCCTATGTGTAACAACTACAGAAATTGAGAGTAAAAGTCTAGACACTTTCAGAGCAGTTTGCTAGAGTTCTGTTGAATTTAATAAAGAATCAGGGTTTTTAAAGTTATTAATTTTAAATATGGTACAATGTTCATAATATAAAGCTTATCACTTTAATCATTTAAAATATACAATTCAGTGGCATTAAGTACTTTCACATTGTCCTACTTTATAGAACCACCATCCACTCCAGAACTGAAACTGTATGGCTATTAAACAATGTCCCCTGACCCTCTGAGCCTCTGGCAAGCACACTGGAGACATATACATATGCATATACATATACATATACATATACATATACATTTTTCCCCCAGCCCCTTGGTGTTGGGGATTCAACCCAGGGTCTTATGCATGCTGTGCAAGCACTGTACCAATGAGATACATCTACAATCCCTGCATGTCTTTTTTTCAATTTAATTTTTCCAGTAGTTCCTCTTTATATTTCATTTTATTGATGTTTTAGTCTATAATAGGTCTAAAATTAACACAAATACACACACTGATGCTTCCCCATAGACAGTGAGAGAGCTCTGAGTTAGACACCTCAAATCGTACTTACCAGCAGCCCTGTCTGTAGTGCATACGTGTTGCCTCGGATTACCCGTCTGTCATACATTATGTTTCCATAACGCATAGGTTCTTCATCTCTGTAAAATAGCAAGTTCTGAGTAAATATTTTATCTATGGTATCTCTGGTATCTGTGAATTGAACTCATTTCTAATATGATTTAGACTACGATAAATTATTTTAAGAGAATACATTAGTTTTAGTGTCATCCATAAAGTGAGACAGATAGCTACCATTTGTGCAGAGCTTACTCTATGCCAGGACCTTTCATGTACATTACTTAATTTTTTGCTCACAGTAAGCTTCAATTTGGGAACTATAATTCCTATTTGATACAAGAGGAAATAGACTCAAAGTCATCTTGCTAGTCAGTGGTGGAGCTGGATTTAGGCTGTAAATCTGTAAGACTACTTAATAAATGTGGAAACACCATCTGAAAAGGGACCTGACCTAAAGGACTAGAAAAGCTTGATTTGAGGATTGAAAAGTTACCCAAATAAAACAGTCAGGTTAAAAAATATGATAAGTCAAATTTCTCATTGTTATTTAAATCCAAAAATGTTTAAAAGATATGGTTTAAACTATTAATACAATTCTAATTTCAGGGATCTGAATGATAATGGTGAAAAATACAAATATACAATTGATATTTTCATTTTAAGTTCTTAGAAATATAACCTATTAATTGTTGTGAAGCCATACTTTAACTTACACCAGTAATAGCACTCTGTCAGAAATGATCTGACTGTGCATAAGTTGCTAGCTTATCAAATATTGAAGCCACATCCTAACATACTTCACTGCTTGTTTTATTTAGCCTTTGACAGTATTCAGCTCCACTGGATACTTCTTTATATAAGTGTTCTTTTCTATTTCCCTGCGATATAAGAATATTCTTCTTTTTTAAAAAAATTTAATTTATTTCTTCATCTGTCTCTTCTTTTTGCTATTTCTCCAGCTGCTCTTTCTCAATCTTTGCAGCTCCTTCTGTAATGGAGGAGCCCTCAAGGCTCCACTTCGTTTTTCCTTAGATGATCTTATCTATTTGCAAAGCTTCAGTTATGAACCATACACCAATTTTATTTTATTTCTAGCTCAGAAATCTCCTCTGAACTAGAGGTGTATTCAGTTTCCCACTAGGGTGTCTGGAAGGAAACTTCAAAATTTAATTATCACTGCCCCACCATTCCAACTTGTTTCCTATTTCATTAGACAGTGTCACTAATCACACAGTTGACTTAACATAGAATTTCTGCCTGGGAGTCATCCATAACTTCTTCCTTTTCTTTATCCCTGCACCTACTGTAGTAAAAATTATTTCTTCTACCCCTAAATCTTTGCATCCATCTATTGCTTATAGTTACAACCATCTTTTACTGACTTCTAAAAAAGTCTCCTGGTCTCACATCTGAACAACATTTAATGTGGAAAATTTGATTTGAACTTATCAAAACCAGAACAAGAACCAAAACAAAGCTGTATTAGTCACTTCTTGTTGCTGGAATACAAAATCTGACACCTGCAACTTAAAGACAGAGAGGTTTATTTTGGCTTATGGTTTCAGAAGTTTTAGTTCATAGCAGGCTCAAATGCAGAAACAGCTTTGTGGAAGGGCCTACCTCAGAGAAAAACTACTTACGCATGGTAGCTGGGGAGCAGAGAAAGAAGAGAGTAGCCAGGAAGGCAGATACACTCTTCCAGGTCAAGTCCCCAGGGACTGCCTCTTCTGACTAGGCCCCACCTCAACAGCGCACTCAATGGCTGACCTCATCTATGGATAAATTCATGGGTGAGGACAGTATCCCCATGATCCAAAAGCCCCACCTTTGAACACATGAGGCTTGTAGGAGACAGGCTAGATTTAAACCATTATAAAAGCAAAAAAAAAAAAAAAACCTGTAGAAAAATAGAAGACAAAATTCTTAACATTTATTGCTGATAGATGTAGAAAAGAGGCTAGAAAGATTTATCCAATTTAATACAAAATTTTGAACAGGACATGGCTAAGGACTTATATGATATACACAGATTGAAATAAATGCGTACTTCTTGGACATAGTCTACTAGTCATTCACTAGTAAGTTTAGCTAGCAATATTGTTCTGTAATACACTTTTTCAATATTTTATTCAGAAGGATACCATAGAAGGCTATCATCCATATACATAAAGATATCAATGATTAAGATTTGTAAGCAACTACTTTCTTGAAATTTCTTGAGATTTTTATTGTCTTCTGTATTACTTTGATAAACTAATAAAAATTACATAATATGCAAATCAGCTAGTTAGAAAAATTGTTTTAAATGAACCAGCATGCATTCTCATTTCTAATTTGTTGGATAATAATGATTTAATAATAATTTATGGGCAGTCCATTTTACCAAGAAATATTTTTTGGAAAGAGTTCTTTTTACATTGAATCCTCATAAAATAAATAATCTCTCTTCAAATTTAATTTTTCTATCCTGATTGTCTCTTAAGTGATAGAAATTTCTTACTAAAAACCGTTGTCAGAATAAGAGAGTTATAAATTTAGATTCAGTGTTTGAAATGAGCATCAAGAATTACATTCTGATATTTAGTCACAACCGCGACAATTTGTATTGAGTGCTTATTACATGCCAGGCATGGTCCTAGGGGAATGAGATACAAAGTCCTTGCTTCCATGCAACTTGCATTCTTGTGAAATTCTGATTCCAAAATACGAGGCTGATGTAAGAACTTTAAGAGAATCATAAAGTGTGTGGTCTTTTCTAACTACAGATGTTTGAATACTTGCAAATATTCATCAGTGTAAAAATACAATTTGTGGTCATGTATTGAAGACTTCCTAATTCCTGCTCAACAACAAGTGTGGAAAGAGCTTTATACATTTGATCTTAGCCAAAAGGCCGAGAAACAATTGAAAAGAGCTTTAGGAGGCTGTCATTTGCTATTGGGTCTGACACCTTTGTGCCTCAGTTCGTCATATGCATAATGTAATTATGAAACCAAGATGGCAGCATTATGGTTTAAGAAAATGTTGTGAATGCCCCCAGTTTAGTGTCTGGTACGAGTTTAGCCCTCAATAAGCATTAGTTGACTCAAACTTTGTGAAATAAAGGGACTCGTGGACATTTTATGGGTTGAGCCAGCAATTCAATATCACTAAAATGAACTGAGAGGCCACCATGCTCCTTTTCGCTTCACCCCTCCGCACTACGGCAGTTATTGATAGAGGAAAAGTTCTTTCGGTAGAGAGTAGACATGGGAAAGCAGCCTGGGCGGTTTTTGCCAAGACCTGGCCCCGGGATGGAGTGCAAGTGGAGAAGGGCTGGTTTGGTCACTCACGGCTGCAACAGGCTGTCCCGGTAACGGCGGCGCTGACAGGCCAGGGCCCGGGGCCGGCTGGTGTAGGTGTAGGTGGCCATGGCTGGAGAGCTGCGCGGTTCGTGAGGCAGGGTCCGGGGTCAGACTGCCTCGCTCGCGCTGGAGCTTGGCTTTGCAGCAGGTGGGCACTAAGGAGTCGTGGGAGGCGGAGAGATGTTAAATAGTGCCAAGGGCAAGGATTTAGTGACGCGAGGAGAAGCGGCACGCAGAGAGACTGGCGGTAAGGGAGGCTGTCAGCGCTGCAGGTATGAACTATGTTCAGCTTGCTCCAGCTAGAGCAGAACCAGCTGGCAGCGCCAGCACCGGTTGCTGGGCAACCGGAGTTCCTTTTGGGGGCGGGACCTCCAGGCAATTCCGGAGTCAGGCACTTCCGGCTCTGGGCCCCGCCCATATATTCTGCGCCCTCTGGCGCGTCTGCGCATTGGGAGTTTTCTGGCCCCGTTGGCGGGCCTGCCTGTTTTGGTGGCTGAGTGCTCCTTGTCAGTTTCGGCTGTACCTCACCACGTTTTGAATTGCGGCCTTGCATGGCTGGTATGAGCGCCATTCTCATAGGCCCAAATGCACCTGCCGTTTCAGGGGGCCTCCTCGCTTGTTCTCTGGCCACCGAACGTCGGCGCTCCCGGCTGCCCTAGCGATGACGCCCTAGGAGCCAGGCTCCTGGCTCTGTTACGTGCGGGTCGGGAAAAGGCTTCCTACTGTCTCTAGAGGCCACCACATCCTGCCCCCTGGGCGAGCCGTCGCGCTCTGAAGCAGTCTTTTCTGCATTCCCCCACCGCCTTCCGTGCTCACCGCTCTGTGTCAAGGATATCAGAGGACCCTGAGGCGCACGGAGCGACAAGGGCCACCCTACAGGCATAACTTTGGGAAAGGAGTGAACAGTTTGTTGAGACTGGAGAGAAAGGCACAGTTCCTCTACGCCTTAATCCATCAGACCCCATGATCTGAAGAATGGGGTGTCTTGGGGTGGGGTCTGAGCCTAGAAACGAAGATGCTTTGGGGTTAGTACTAGAGATCTTGCAGTTGGAGTAGGAGCAGATGCCCTCTAAGCAAGGATTCAGAACTTGTGAGAAATGATCCTCTTCTGGTTTTCCCTTATTCCAGAGCATAGCTATCTTAGTTGCTTTCTTGTCACTGAGAGGAGATACCTGACACTCACAAGTTAAAGGAGGAAAAATTTATTTTAGCTCACAGTTCATAAAGGTTTAAGTAGTTCGCTGGCTTCGTGGCAAGGTGGCGTGGCAGAGGAGAAATGGTTCACGGCATGGCAGGTAGGAAGCATAGAAGCAGCAGCCTTCTTTTCCCTTTTATTCCATTCAGGCTATAAACTTGTTGGTGCCACCCACACCATAATGGAGCTTCTGTCTTTAATATATCCCTTCAGCCACACCAAGGACTAGCTAAATCATTTAGTGGACTAATCCAGTACCATACACCCCTAATCCAGGTGTCACATATCCATGATCCAGTCACCTCCCCAAAGCCACACCTTTGAGCTCATGAGGCTTTGGGGGAACATGTAAATATAAACCACAAAAGTAGGTCTTTCTGTTCTTTCTCAGCAGGAAAGCTTGGGGTGTTTAATAGGTCCCCATCTTTGGTTAAACTTGTGCTCCATTTTTGTATTCCCAGGTCTTTGAGACTATTAAAAGGCTTACTGAGCTTTTTAGCTACTTAGCAACTGCTTAGTTTCTTGTTTGCTAGTGCCTGTTTTAGAAATCAACAAACATCTCAAAAATTAAGAGCCAACCAAGGGTCAGGCAGTCTTCTCTATATTCTCCCTGTCTCTGGGGTTTTGTCTCTTGAAGTCCTTGATGTAGTTCTCAACTCCAGTTTTTATCTTCCCTGGTCTAAAAGGCTCCTGACACTTCTTAAATTGCTGTTTCCTATTTGCCCTAAATTCCCTGTACAGAAACTCAGTAAATTTCCCAGGAGACAAAGCAATGGGAAAACAACACTTTATATATTTCTCTCCTAGCTGCGATCTCAGGTCCTCACACTCTGACCATATCAATTATTCTCCAGCACCTTCAAATACCTGGGTGGTTTTTGGTGGATTTTGTCTTGTTTTGTTTGTACAGATTTTCCTTTGGGAAAGTTGGTTTGACAAAAGCTACTCAGTCATAGCTGGAGGACTCTGCAAGGTTGTTGACAAGAGTAACTGGATGGATGAGTTGCCATTTATTGATACAGGAAGCACTGGAGAGGGATTGGTGTTGGGGTAAGTTCTGGAAGCTCAGATTTGGAAACATTAAATTTATGAGGCACATTAGTCATCCAAGTGGATATAGATATATAGACAGTTTGATATAGGAGTCTGGAGTTCCAGAGGATTCAGCCAGAGCTGAGATAAGGATTTTTGACTCAATAGCATGTAGATGGTGTTTTAAACCGTGAGATTTGAGAGATTATCAAGGGAGTGTAGAAAGAATAGAGAGGAACATTCCAGTTACTCCTGTACTTACAGGTCAGGAAGATAAGAAATGAGCAACAAAGGAGACTGAAAAGGAGTGGTCAAAGAGCAAGAAGAAAATGCAAAAAGTCTGGTCACCTAGGAATCAGGTGATGAAAATGTGTCAAGGCCAAGGAGTAACCAGCCATTTCTAATACTATATGTAGGCCAGGCAAGATCAGAACATTTGGTCTAGCAACAGAGAGGTAGTTAGTGATTCCCGGAGTTTTGGAGGAGAAAGCTCAATTGTAATGGACTCAGAGGAAAGCAAGAGAGGGAAAATTGTGACTCACAGAGATTTGCTGCAAAGGAAAAGAAAAATATCTAGAGAGAAATTGAGTCAAGAAGATTTTATATTTTTAATAGGAAAATTGACCGAGTACATGTTTATAGGGTAGAAATAGAGTAAAGAGGTAAGAGTGAAAGATAAGGTCAAGAGGGGGAAGAATTGATGCAATGATAAGACAAAGAATGGATGTGCTCTTATACTCAAGCAAAGTATAAGTTTCTTGGCCTTGCCTAGAAACATGGTTCACCCATGGTCAGAGGAGGAAAGATGGGTCCATAACCACAGTCACAGGCAGATTGATGATAATTTACAATTCCTTAAAATAATGAAGTTTCCGGTGTAGCAGATACCATGATAAACACTTCACATACTTGATTTCATTTAGTTATTGTAATGACCCCATGAGATACATTGATATTATTCCTGTTTAACTTACACGAGACCCAAAGCTTAGAAAGTTCAAGTAACTTTTCAAAATCATGCAAGTAAGTGACAAAACCAAATCAAACCCCTTGTCTGTCTGACCCTAGAACACAGGCCCCAAAGGATCAGAATAAGCGCTTTATCCTTCCATCCCAAACCTCTTGTTTCTTGCCTCAGTTACTTGCTGTCCTTCCCCACACTCTCTCAATATTCTAGTAGTCACTAAGTCATATCTGTTTTACCTCCCAAGTGGTTTTTTGATTCTGAGTTCCTCTTTTTAAATCTTTACAATTTTTACTGGACTTTTTCCTGATCATTCCAACCCCCTGCAACCTAAAGTTGTATCTTCTATGAGCCACAGAATGATACAGGGTAATATAACTGGTGCACTGGTGGCCTCCATACCCACATTGCCTAATAATTGCTCAAACTCCTTAAACTACCCATAGTCTGTCACTGCCTGGATACTACCTGTTCCCAATCTCAACTCTCACTTGTTTGTGCCTTGTACTTTTCTCTCAGCGGAGTTGAGAACTTGTGGTCCATTGTCATAGCACATTTCCACTATCTGCTTTTTCTTTTCTCTTTGTCCCTTCTCCCAGATAATTTTATACTCCCTGTTTAAGCCTCAGATCCTGTTGTTTGCTCTAGGATGTACATTTCTGATGCCTCTAACTTGGGTTCACATATTCCTCCACTATATTGCCATCTTTTGCTCACCATGTGACATGTTTGCTGCTTCAGTAAGTATGAGTTCCTTGAGGGTACAAATCATGTCCTGCTGATGTTTTGTAGCTCTATCATGCAGGTTCATGTTTGCCTGGACAGTTTAATTCATGCATGGATATCAGAGATGCACAGTCAGAGGGAAAAAAGAGGGAGCTTCTTTTAATTTTCAATGTAAAAAAATGAGCATAAGGCCAACGTTTCAGACTGGTTTGAGCATGGATAGAAATGCAAGAGTGCTTAAAATAGTTTACCATTTAACAAACATGAAGCATTTTCTCTGTACCAGGCATTATTGTAAGAGCCAGGGATAGGTGGACCTTTCATCCTAAGGTAGAGAAGAAGATAATAGGAAGATAAATCAGAAAGGAACAAAAGAAAATTTCAGAAAATGAAAAAAAGCTACAATGAAAACAAATTAGGGTGTTATGAGTAGGAGAGGCTGAGAAGTGAATATTTAACAGAAACACAAGCATCATAGCAAGGAATCAACCACACTGGGGAGAGGTGGTAGCCAGGATGCTATTCCAGAGAAAGGAACAAACCTGAGCAAGCCTGTCATGTTTAGGAGCAGAAAGAGGACCAGGTGGCTCAGATCACTGGGGGAGAGTCTTTGGAAATGAGCTTCCAGAGCCTGTAAAGGTGGCTACTTGTGTTTGGGGTTGGGGAGTTGGGTTAAGGGGAACCATTTATTGGTTTAAAGGAGGATGTTATGACCTGAGTTATAGGTTACAAAATTACCAGTTGCTATGTGAAGCGTGGATTGTGAGAGGAGAAGAATAAAATACTAGTTAAGAAGGTGTTGCAGTAGTTTGGGGTGGGGCAGGATGATAGTAGGGAGAATGGAGAGGAGTGATGTGTTTGAGATATTGTGGAGAATGGATTAAGATAAGCTATTAACGAATTAGATATGAAGGTGATGACTAAAGGGATAAAGGATGACTCCTACGTTTTTTAGCTTGAGTAAAATGACACTGTAATCTTGTCATTCACTGAGACGCAGTTAATTACTGGAAGGAGTAAGAAGTCAAGAGCTCTGTTGTGACATGTTAGTATTAAGATGCTAGTGTATATCTATATGTGTACATCATGTCAGCTGGCTAGGGATGTGAGTCTGGAGGTCCTTGGAAAGGTCAAGAGAATGAGAAATTTGGCACTCACAAGTGCTTAGAGGGCTCCAAAGACCTAAAAGGTAGAAGGGAAATGGAGTGTGGTCTTGCTGAACCAGAGCTTTCAGGAATAATGTGGTCAATATGGTCAAATATACTATGATGTTAAGGAAGATGAAAATTAAAAAGTAACCATTGGATTTGCTACCAGGAAAGTCATTTTTGAACTTTATAGTCAGAGGAGAGCTTAAGGGTTGGCAGTTTCTCTGAGGTGGTAGAATGGAAACCATATACAGTAACCAAAGATAATGTCTAATTATGGAAGTAGAATTGGTAACTATAGATTATTCTTCCCAGAAGTTTTGCCATTATCTGGCTTTTTTAGTGAAGAGGATAAAACTTTTGGACAAGTGTCTCATTTGAAGATGAATAGCACATGAATTAAATTTTTGCCACAAGGTGTCACTAATTCTTTACTGGTTTTACTAATAAAAATAATTATTGCAGAGATATTCATTTTTACAGTAAGTAAATATTATTTTTAAAAATCACATTTACAAAGTAGGTCAACCAGAAGGTAGTTACTTACATTTCCAAGGGTTTTTCTTTCAAGAGCCAGG